CCGCCGATCACAGGACCGGCCCTGTCCACAAACCATGGATGATTTGTATACGAGTTACTTTCCATGAATGCAGGTAGTTGATACTGAGGGACGTTTATTAACATCTTTAGGTCATGGATTATGGCCTTCGTTGGTTCTCCTTTCAGAACTTGTCCAAACTTTTATTCTGACTGATTTTTGCTATTACTATATGAAGAGGTGGCTGTGAGCTTTTTATCGTTAGGGTTGGACATGGTCTGGTCCGGTTCGATTCGATTATAAGAAGAACTGAACCAATCCCGAATTTTCGGGTATTTAGTAAATGGAACCGTCGTGTTTAAATTTAATTATGGAACTGTTCTGGTTCGGTTCGATTTGATTAGGTTCTGGGGTTTGTACAGTAATTATTTTTTTTATATTTACAACAACACTACATTAACTCAACTAATGACTGTTCAATTATAGTTGTTACAAAATAACGTAGTCCAATCCCCATAATATCTTTTGCGTATTTCTTTGTTGAGTTCTCATGGATTTGACAGTTAAAATTACAAGAAAATGAAGAGAGCAAGCTCACAATAATAAAGAGAGGCTTCCGATTCGTTTCTCCACACAAAAATAACACTACAGTAGAGTAAGAGATTTTGATAAAATGTAGATCGATTTGATTAATTGGACTAGGGTTGGAAATTAGAAATATGAAAATCATATTTTAGGTTTGAGCTAAAATAATTAGCTAGCAAATTTATTTAAAAAGAAAATAAAATAATTGGGCTTATTTAAGATAAAAAAAATTGAGGATATTCGATTGTTATTCGATTTTTCGATTGTTAGTCTAGCACCGAAAATTGAACCGAACTCGTCGGTTCTCGGTTCGGGGTTAAGATACACGTTCGAGTATTTAACTTAAAAAGAACTGTTTGGTTCGGTTTAATTCGATTTGAATCCGATTCGAAAGTTTTGTCGGCACTATTTATCGTACTGAAGTTATTCTTATATGTTATGGCTATTAAATATTGCTTCTGATCAATTTTTTTTTTTTTTTTTTATAAATTTTTTTTTTTTTTTTATTTTTTACTTTTTTTTTTTTTTT